GGTTCCAAACCACGTGTGAAGCAAAGCAATCATGCACCTGAGCCAGTCCTAAACTTGAATGTCCTTATTTAAGGTTGAGGGGCTTCCCGGCCCTCGGCGAGGTCTGCTCCGGGCTGTCAAGTGAAGAGATTGCTGCTGACATGAAGACAACTGAAAGCTGAGGGAGGGAGAGAGAGAGAGCACGCTGAATTCGTCACTGGCCGGCTGCGGATTTTGGGACCAAGATCCAGCCAGAGATCTGCTTCCTTCGTGCTGCGGTGGCAGTCTTCTCGAGCTGGTGCCTTCCCCTCCCGTGATTCGCATAGTCATCTATAACTCCTACCGGAGGTCTTCAAATCGCGAAGGCCGTTGGCACTTTGTATAGGCCACCTCAGTGGTGTGCAGCCAACCTCTCCGGTTCTTTGTTTCAAGCCGCCCATGTAAAGTGTTTCAAGGCCTGCTGTCCACGCAGATGCAAGGCAAGCCAGCAGCTGGAGGAACATGCCTGAATGGCATATCATCCGAATCGTCGCTTTGGAACAACCCGACCGGTGGCACGAGGGTGCCTGCCTCGAAGGGTTCGTGCGTCTGAAGCACGCGCGTGCATGCTTGGCTTGGCTTTTTTGAAGGGACCGCGGATGCGTAGAGTACTGAAAGCTGAGGATTAATGCAGTGCACTGAATTCGGCACTGGCCGGCTGCAGATTTTGGGACCAAGATCCATCCAGAGATCCGCTTTCTGCATGCTGAGATGGCAGTGTTCTTTGGCTGGTGCTTTCATACCCTGCCCATGACCTTCTAGGTCACCTGGTCGTTGCATGACTCCTACCGGAGGTCTTCAGATGTTTGAGGCCGTTGGCACCCTGTATAGGCCGCCTCAGTGGTGTGCAGCTAACTTCTCCGGTTCTTTGTTTCAAGATGCCTAAATGGCATGAAGGGTCCGTGCGTCTGAAGCACGCGCGTACATTCTTGGCTTGGCTTTTTTGAAAAAACCAGGCACAGTGCCCAGCAGCTTTCCTGATTGGCACCTGCTGGACTTTTGTCGCGCTTCCACCTTCCATCTTTCCCTTGCCGAGACACTGGCGAGTTGAACTTTGTCGGATGGTACAAGTCATTAGCTGGTTCCTCTGTGGTCTTATCCGCAGCTTGGCAATTTTCAAAGACGAGCGGCAATACGTTGCCGCCATTGGGACTTCCCTCTGCTCAAGTCTTTTTTTCAAGCGTGCACTAGCACCCAGCCGCGACAAGATGAGGTGCCACTTGCAGCATGACTTACGAGTCAAAACATTGTTCCTTCCAGTTGTCTGACTGCAGTGTTTACCAAGAGTTTGTGAACATTGCTCGTGTAGCTAATGATGGCTCCGACCTGGTGACCGGCTCTGCAACAAGCTGTCGTCGGCAAATCAACGTGAGGCTGACAACAGATTGCTCCTTGGTGGAGATCCTGTCCGGCGATCACATCAACTCGTCCGGCGGGTACTTGCTAAACTGCTAAATGGAGGCTTGCACACTCTTGCTTGCTCTTAGCTGCAGAAGTAGAGTTAGCAGAGCCAGCGGCAAGCTATTCAATCTTTTTGAGCACAAGGCCGCCATGCTCCTGACTGGCAGGACTCTACCTGGTATCTCTTCAATTTTCGAGGCTTTTGTCTTCTTGAAGGGGTGTGCATGCTTCGTTTCCGAGCAGTTTGCATTTAATCTATTGCTTTGGGTGAGTGCAACTTTGGGCTCAGCAAAGTGCCATCTCCTCTGACGGTGCCGACCGAATAGTGCTGGAGCCATGATCCACGGCAACTTCGTGCAATCAAGCGGCGCCATGGCCGTTCCGGTGATCGGAGCTATCTGCAGCCCCATGCCGGTGCTGATGTGCCCACCTTCTGGTGTTGCGCCTGGTCTCAAACAATCATTGGACTATTTAGTCCCCAAGCACACGACCGTTTGCCATTGTGCAGTGGACACGAGTTGCCGTCTGAGGCTCTTGTCGTGAACATACAAGGAGGGTGGCCTGGTTACAATCTAGCCGTTGTAAGCAGCTGGATAGGCCAGATGTGCTCAGTTGCTGAAATGACATAGCGCCATCGGGATGAATTGGTTGTCAGTCTGCTTTTGACGTGCAGCAAGGCAGCAAGTGGCCTTTACTCCGAATGCCGTGCCAATCATGGCGCAGCCAGTGCAGCCACCACCGCTGAGCCAGCCACGCCAGGCAATATGCTCCAAGCTTTGGGAGTAAATCAGAAACAAACATCAACAGCAAGCGCTGAGCACAACGCCGCTTTGAAGGATTCCCGAACAGAACTCCCCTCCCCCCTTCCTCCTTGCCTCTAGGACATTGATACCGAGACATCGAGTCTGGCCGGGAGCTGCTTCAGCCCTGTGACAACTGGGAGCACGACAGCATCGACAGCCTCAGTGTCTTCCTTTGGGAGTTCCTTTGGAGCCGAACTTTCTGAGAGATCGATGACCCCCGTGGGACCAACCTTTCCACCGACTCCCGAAGCAGGCTCTGTGAAAGGCCATGTTTGGCAGCTCTGTCAGAAGGAGAACGGCTGTCGTCGTGTTCAGGAAGCCATCGATGCGTGCGGCTCTGATGAGGAGCGAGCCGCATTAGCCATGGAGATCGTGGGACATGTATGGGAAGCTGTTCGCTGCCCGTTTGGAAATTACGTCGTACAGAGGTTTATCACCCTGCTTCGGCCCCGTGACTGCCAGTTCATTATTGATGAGATCTTGTCGCAAGGCAAACGAGCGTCTTCACAGTTGGCCCGCCACCGGTATGGATGCCG